GGTGCATAGACGCACATCAATTGTTACCCCTAATTCTAAAAATTTTAAATTAGGATACCAAGAACTAGTTTCAACAGTGCAATGCTAGCAATATATAAGTTCCACAGAACAAATACAGCATAAGATTACCTTATTGCATGCTTCAATTGACTTCCTTGGTTCCCCCATTTTCAGAAAGCAGGCAGCCACATTCAGATGCAACAAATTCTTCAAGCATATAGATTGAAAGATGGAAACAGCAAAAGTTACAAACATACAGATTAACTCCACATAACTCCACAAGTCATAGAGAATACTATGGTCTTTTACTGATAATAATCTTGAATTAGAGTTGTCTATACAGTGATTAGTTAGAAGACTTCCCAATTGCATATAATCATACTTACTCTTGTATTGGAAAATTCTTTTCCCTCCTCATCATCTTGAGGATTGACATGATTAAATTCACGAAGCACCTGTAAAACAATTACCAGACATTTCATACAACATTTTTGAAAGGAAAATGCATGCAACCAAAATTTATGATATTGAGCTTAAGTGAGACTAAGGATTTGACACCTCAGGATTCTCACAAATCATAGTTGATGCTACTAAATCAAGTGCAACTCCCTAGAAAAAATAAAAGGGAGACAAAACAGAAGGTGCCTAGGAATGCACAACATAAAGAAAAGCAGAAATTTTACATGCTCATATTTTGCCTTTGCAAGTTCATATTTGCCTTCTTTGAATAGCCTGTTACCCTGAAAATGAACGATTACCGAGAAATGAGTTTCTATCAGTATGAACCAAGAGACGATAAAATAACCATTTCTCTGCAGAAGTAAAATTTTAAAACTACAATTAAATATGGCATGCATTCTGGGAGCATACAATCAATAATCAGCAGATTTATAAGAAATTTGTGAGCTGCAGTGGACTAACTTAAAAACCTATTTTTACAGTAAGGACTTTCTGCTTGAATTGTTTAACTGGCAAAAATCAAATTTTCATTATCAGTTTCTGCATACTATCCTTATTTTTAACATTGAAACCACTCAGCCATTGAGTTGATTTGCCACACCTGCATTTATTTCTCTTAAATATTCTTTCCAGAAGCACAGTAATCCATCCAAAGCAGTATTTGGTGGAATGAAGATATTTATTTGTGGCAATAACCAATTATAAGAATAAACTTACATCATAAAATTGCACATTAGTCGATATTTTTCATTAAAAAACTGCCAAATGTTAGCGCTAATATTCAAAAGTCAAGTTAGGAATTGTCCACTGCCACTCACAATAGAAATCCCAGGAGTAAAATATTTGGACTTATTTTGTTACAATAACTATTGAAGACTAATTCTATAGATAGTCATGTAACATATACCGTGCCTTTAATCTTCTCGACATCCTCCATTATTTCTCTAAAGTTGAAACCAGTCCAATCCTGCAAAGAGGATTTAAATCATGCACAAATACATGTTTGGGTAACAAAGAAACCAGCAAGCCAGGAAAAAATGATTATATAAAAATAAAAATTATACCAAATGCCAGCAAATACCCAACCATTGGGGGGCATATAAGAATGCCATGACATAACCATAATTTAGAGGTTCAAAGTTACATACAGGCTTTGAAATGTAACAAATTGGAGCCAGAAGCATATATTAAACCCATTTCTCAGTAGAGAACCCTCAGCAATACTAGCCAAGTTCATAAATGACAATTCACTTTACACTGTAGGACTAGTGTTATATTACTGAAGGTTTAAAGTGTATAAAACATCCAAATCATGGGCATGCATCTCCTATCAATAAAAATGTACAACATATTTGTCCAAGATCAGCACATTTCCTTATGCTTTATTTATTAGAGCATTCACTTCAATCATACAACGAAAAGAACTAATTTATCTAGACTTGCCACATGCATATATAACATTTGCCTCACTATAGTTTAAATGCATATTCCAGAGTCTAACACAAAATTCAAATGAGTTTCAAATAAGGTCTTTCCATCCCTTTTCAATTTTTCAATTGTGTTCTTAGTTTCCGCACCTTTTGCTTCTCATAATCAAGAAGCTCAATCTCCCACTGGATGTCAGCACCTTGAGGAACGTTAGCTGGCCTGATCATGTCACGACAAAATAAATATGAGAATATAGCTAAGTAGAATGCTTTCAGCGATAAAAATAAAGACATGACGATGTGCGCATTTTTTGAGTGATTATAAAAATATAGAATTTTAGTATAAGCGTATTGATAAAACAAAATTTAACCTAGGAAATTTGTCATAAGCATAATCAGGAGGGCACGTAACAAGAGCTATCTCTCCAGGCAACATCAGTCGGGTGCACATTTCAAACCCTTCAGGTACCTGATAGCAAAATAGAACCATAACTTATCAAGATAAGTGACATACAGCCAAAACCATAATAACAAACAATCAAGGTTTCAGGATATATATATATATATGTATGTATGTATGTATGTATGTATGTGTGAGAAATGGCAATATACAAAAACTTCTTAAGATTTGCTTTTAGAGCATAAAATTTGGCTTACAAGCCCTTCCCCTGATCTGAACTCCAAAGGCTGACCGTTGTTATCAACTTTTGTATCGTAGAAGACAGTCTTTTCTGCATTGAGAAGCATCCCCTTGTAATGGACATGTAGGAGACTGTCACGAAGCGGGCAATCCATAGGAAATTCACCTAATTATTTCACAAAATTTAGAAAGCATTTATACAATTTTTTTTTTTTTTGTAAAACAAAATGCAAATATTAGGCTCAAGTAAAGTTTAAACTAAAGTTCGAAAATACCTCTTCCATCACGAATCCGGCGTTTTATTAGTCGTCCATCTCCAAGCACATCCCGCACCTGAATATCCATGAAAAGGCGTTTCAAAGGAATTCAAAGCAAAGAGATCGATGTGGTTCTAGGGAGAAGGAAAGATAGCATGGAGATAACTATTTTGTCCTCTGAGCATATTCCTAGAAAGAAGCTTTGACATTAACTTATCAACCAATTAGCCTCAGTGGTTTTGCTTCATCATGCTTTCATTTTTATTTTTTCCAGCTACACGTCTACTGAACAAATTATGATCTACATAAAGACAAATGCTTAGGATAACCCGTGTAAAAGTTAAAAGAGATACAAATACAACCTGCATTAATAGAGCAGCTACGAGAAACTAAAGCATGGTAACTGTATTTCACCTATGTATACCATTACAACTCGAACAAGAGAGGACAGAATATTAGCAATCATATAAATCAGCAAGAATGAATATCTTCACGATTTTAATTTTTACATTTACAAGAAGGTTATATATGATACCTGAAGTTAAGGAACCGAGACAAAAGCGTGTGAGGCCACCATGATAAACATGAGTGAAGAGGAAATGAAATGTTCGAAAAAGGAAACCTATATGTTAGCCTGTAGGATAAATTTTTGACAGATTTATGGTCAATATACACTTTCGAAAAAGGAAAACTATATGTTAGCATGTAGGATAAATTTTTGACAGATTTATGGTCAATATACACTTTCTTAACTTGGGGTTGTACAAAGTGCTTTCATGTTAGGCCCACATGGTTTCAACTTTCAAATATATTTGATCACTGACAATGGAATTACTTTTTTTTCTTCAATTTTTTTTCTCTTTTTGTGTGTGCATGTGGGAGTATTTCTGTTTTTTCTGTACAATTATGGTGGTGCCAATTAGTCCAGCATCAATGGAGTGAAAGAAGAAACTAAGCCCCTGTTTGACACCCATTTTTTTATCTCATTCTCATTCTCATTTTTCTACAGTACTCATTTCTAACCACACATTCTCCAAATAAAATAATATTACACATAAACCCAAAAATTCTTCTTACTTTTTAACCACACATTCTTTACATCAATCTTCGAAAAAGGAAAACTATATGTTAGACTGTAGGATAAATTTTTGACAGATTTATGGTCAATATACACTTTCTTAACTTGGGGTTGTACAATTACTTGAGTGCTTTCATGTTAGGCCCACATGGTTTCAACTTTCAAATATATTTGATCACTGACAATGGAATTACTTTTTTTCTTCAATTTTTTCTCTCTTTTTGTGTGTGCTTGTGGGAGTATTTCTGTTTTTTCTGTACAATTATGGTGGTGCCAATTAGTCCAGCATCAATGGAGTGAAAGAAGAAACTAAGAATTCGTTGGGCAACAAAAGAGTAATAATCAAGAAAAAATAAATAAATCAACAATGATATATAGCATCTGTCACGCCTTTCAGAAGAATGACATCAAAATTACTATCAAGAAGCTAAGGACAACGAAGATAAAATCATAACTGTGATTTGATGCTATAAAATTAGCAAAGTAAAAAACTGTTACAGAAGTTATCCACATATAAGGCAATATTTCTTTGAAAATGATCTACCTAGATAATCTCATTAAATGATTAACAATTTCTTTTCCACATAAAACAGAGCAACGTGAGTCCTGAGACAACTATAGCACTAATGGAGAAGAACTGATTACCTGAACAAAATGTACCAGCTCCACCTCAAAATGAACTTCTTCAATATCTTCTAATGTGGGAATCAGAGGGCACTGAGTCAAATACTTACTAGTAACATAAATTACCGCCTTTTCTCCTCTTGACATTGTTCCTATTCCCATCTCAAGACCATTGGGTACCTAACTTACAAACAAAAATTCTTCTCTCTAAATTTGAAGTAAGGTAATATAACTACTCAAAAAAGTCAGTAAATAAAAGATACCAAGATAAAAGCCATGAAGCTGCAAGAATTCGGTACTGACCTCAGACTTTCCAAAAGTAAAGAAAAAGGGTTCTCCTTGAGTATGTGACACAATCAATTTTCCATCACCCGACTTTGCCAAAATCCTATTAGCAATCAAACATAACATAGATTTGTATTGAGCAGATGTACAGTTGAAAAGGCTTATCATAATGACCATGAAAAGAATAAATGGCTAGAATGAGTTGGGGTCAAGCGTATGAAAAGAATTAAAACAAAAGGAAAAATACAGGAAAAGCAAGAAGAATTTTGTACCAAGCTTTAATTTCGTATGGTTCTCTAGGTGTTTCCCAACCCTGTCCTTCTTCTGTGACCTGTTAAGACAAGTGAAAATCAAAACATAGTAGGTATTTGAACTTCACATTCCTGACAATAATATTTTGCTTCATGCTTGGATAGCACAAAGTCTATTTAATCACTATATTTGCAACGTGTAATTTGTAATTCAAATTATTTCAGAATTTGTGAAGATACTTAGTAAATGCTTATAAAATAACTTGGTAACTTACAAAACACTCCTGTAGTTTAGGGTAAAGATGGAATCAGATTGTTTTCAAGAAAGAGTCCTCAACCAAAAAGTATGTGGGTATTACCCAGGCTCCATAGCATGATAAAAACAGTCAATAAAATTCACTTTCCACAGTGGCATCAGGGTGGTACTAGACTGAATAAATTCCCTTAAGCAATCAACTAAAGGATATCCATCAGCAGATTCGACGACAGGGGAAGATTTATTTTAACAGTATTCAGAATATTCATTGTGGAGAGTTCCATGTTAAAACAAATGCAATCATACAAAAGCAGCTGTTTATTCCATTTACCTTCTTTAAGACGCCTAAATCTTCACTAATAACCTGAAAAATTAAAGAAATGAATCCAAGAAAACACATGAGTACTCTACTTCAAAATCATATGGAAAATGATAGTGAAACTAGATAGCATGAAATACTCAAAAACCAAATCAGAAGCTAAGAGGAAAAATTTGACAACCTGGAATGAAGTCAAAGAAGCATTTAATAATCTAACTATTTGTCCATGCTTAAAACCAAATTTCCCTCAAAGAAATTGGGTTACACTAGCAAGGTAAGACACTTTACAGCATATATCCAAAAAAAAAAAAGTTGCTCCCTCTCTCTCTCTCTCTATATATATGTATTTAATAAAATGTACAAACAACTGACTTCACAATTCCACGTCCATTGAGGCTATGTCATCTTTTGAAAAACTAAAAGTAAAATAAAATCCCTATCGCAGATTTAAGAAGTTAGACGTTGTATGAGAAGACAATGGCAGAAAACACAACATTCTTGCCTTGACTTTAGAGAATTCAATCAGCTCAATCTCAAAATGAAGTTCGTCATCCTTTGGAAAGCCATCCGCAACTGTGACAGGACAATTTTCCTCACCATAATGTAGCTCGGGTTTCATCTTGAACTGAAATCAAAGATATCACCATCTCAAACACAAATAAAAGAACATAAAAATCACCAAGTGTAACAAAGCAACAAGCTTCCAGTCATCACCCAAATTGCATAAGGTTTCATGAATTTCCATGTGGCTCTTTATTCCATTTAAAGCGGCCACTGATAATAATCTCATTGTTCATGACTGGAAGTTCTTATTTCCTTTTTGATATGTCCAAAAATAAAGTTTGCTCTCCTAAAATGGATATTTGCTCTCAAAAAATACGCTTACTTGAAAGTACATGATATGGCTGATAAGCATTCTTGCTTATTAGGGTAGGTAGAATCAACTATCACCTAAACTCCATACCAAATCAAAGAGAAGGGTTAACTTGTGGATGGAGGTTGTGACATAATCGGCCTATTCATATTATTTATAGACTACGAAAAAGGATAACTGAGGGAGAAAAGAAAGAACAAGGACATAGTGATAACAATAAGAAGAGAAAGAATAAAGTGAACCATACAGGGAGAGAGCACTTAAACAAACTCTCAACCACTAATTTATGCAATTTTTATGGCTCCGTATAAGCATTTCTTTCTCTCACTTTTCCCAACTTTGTAATAACTCTCTGATCTTGCTGAAATAAATACCAGAAACTAGATATATGATTGGCATGAACATGGTCAAAAATTATCAAAGAAAAGAAATGAGGAAGAAGAAGCACAAGGTTTTAATTATTTCACCTATCACTACACTATAATATGGAAAATCTACCTCAGAAGAAGTGGAAAGAGGGAAAGAAGAAAAAAGTCACCAAATTAGTTATTCAATCTAACTTGAGGTTGTATAAAAAATTAGAAGAAAGTGACGAAACAAGCATAATATTATATAAAGTTTGTTTTAGTTTGCCCAATAGTAAATCCCTCAAATTATATGTGCATATGTTTGTGGTGGGTGTCCAAGTGCCTTTAGACATCTTAAACAATATAATGAACCAAACCTAAACAATGCTAAAGTATATCCCATACACAACTTCTAGCATTCCTTTTTATCTACATAAACAAGTTCCACATTACCATTGCAACTTCACCATTGAACATTGTAGGAAAGCCTTCTAGCAATCCCAATATCATCTTACTTTTACCCAAAACCTGTCTTATCGGGGTACCCTTGCCTGTGACATGAGAAAGTGATTTATGATGAATTTCCAGTGAAATAACTAAGATGGCGGACGAGTATATTGAATTGCATCCATAAAAGGATGCAAAATCAGTTAGATGCATTGTATTACTGCCATTAAAATTGAATAGCAAGAACAGTATAACTCAAAATCGAAAAAACATAAATGCAGGATAAAAAATTACAGGGCAGAACACCTGCATCATGATATTAAGGAAATAAGTATTATTTCAGGGACAAACATTAGGTTATGGGAACAGTTCAATGGCTATAACTCTTTGATATATTCCAATTAAATTCCGTTGGGTGTCAAGAAGTTTACGTACTCCAAAAGCATTAAATATTACTTCCATCCAATATCGAAAGCAAATAATGGAAGATTTTCTAGTTCAATTAGATCAAAACGATTGAGCAAATCCCACCTGATAAAATTACATTCTATTACATATTTTGCTTCCTTTTCCTGTTTTTCTACATCATGGTTTTCTGTTATTACTAATTACTTCCAACATCATTGTTCGCGAATGAAGTATAGAGTTCAACTTACCTCCTAATTCTGCTCTTGTTGACTCCACAACCACTCCATCCAGTGTTCGAATAGTACAATGATACATAACCTACAGATTCCAAAGGAAAAACTGTAATTTCTTCATTTTTCCCAGTCTTCTATGGACGCCAATTCTATAATAACGTCAGAATAACTGAATTACACTGAAGAATAATATAATCAACATTTCCAACACCCTCGATGAACATAATTAAGAACAATAGCAAACCTGATCCCCATCACTAGGTGTTTTTTCACCGCTTCCAGGCCTCATCAGAGCTTTCATCAAACTTCCAGGTGTAATTTTCTTTTTCCTGTATAAATTCAAGGCTTCAATTTCACCAGGGCGTTTGAAATAACTATATAAAAACAAAAAAGACGAAGAAAATGGTAAAAAAAACTCTCACCTTTTATCATCATCAGAAGCTGGTTTTATCTTCTGCGATTTGAATTCTTGCTCAGAATCTTCATCCACGCCCATATTTCACAGTAATAGCTGAAATCCCCACAGAAACTTTGAATTACACTATGTGAGCTCAAATATGGCTAAAATGTGCTTGATTCAAAAGATAATATCAAATTATATATAATTTATAAGTGGCGAAGAACCCTAGAATAATAGTTAAATAATTAATTCTAGAGAGATTGATGAATTAGGTGAAAGGGGTAGAAGACGAGAAAACCGTACATTTCGTAAGCTATGAATCTGCGCCGTTGATTACCCAATCTCTCGTTGATCGACTCTTCACTTGCCTCGTTTTTGTTTGTTATTAATTCCCATACAGTAATACAGAAACAATTAAGAAATTGGTGTAGATGGTCTCAAATTTGGCACATATTGCGTGATCGATCCAAATCTTTCAAAATTGGCGCAAATCATTTCAAACCTTCTTCACAAATGAGCCTTTTGGACGGATATCGTCCAAAGACCGTTAATTTGGCGTGTGGGCTCCACTTCTTCTAAGAAAAAATTTCGTATGTAATACTAACATTGACGGAAGTAACAATCCTGTCCCTAATCAATTTTTGTTCAACCTTTAAGAGATTAAGCTCTTGTTTGGTCTACGTTATTATAAAAATACATTTTTTCTCTCTTATTTTTAATCACACG